GAACTTGCCACTGCATGCTTATGTTGGCAGCACTACACCAACAACTCAGTAAAGTTTCATAACTCTGGCATATTAGTGTCTCACAGCTGTGCATGTTGATGTGTGCTGGCATCTTAGTGAGTGGTGTTCGTTACTGCTATTTTGAGTTTTTGTGTAACATTGAAAGAACGTTGGATTAGAGCCACAAAAAAATAAAACCATTAAGTTTCTTCTTAAACTTGGCAAAAGTAGAGATGAAATCAGGGAAATACTGACCCACATTTATGGGGATAACGCTATGAATAAAATAGCAGTGTACAAATGGATTAAATGTTTTTCTGGGCAGTGCCTGTAGCTCAGTGGGAAGGGTGTCAGCCACATACACTAGGTCTGTCAGGTTCAAAGCAGGCCCTGGCCAGCTAAAGCAACAATGACAACTCCAACAACAATAAAAAAAAATTATTCTGAGGGGAGAGAAGGCATCACTGATGAAGAGTGGTCAGGGAGGCCAGTAATAAGCAGAACTGATGAAAACATTGCAAAAATTTGTTGAGTTGTATGTCAAAATCGTTGGCTGACTGTGAGAAGCACAGGAGACCAAGTAAACATCAACAGAGAAACAATTAGGAAATTCTTAACTGGGGTGGTGCCTGTGGCTCAGTGAGTAGTGTCAGCCCCATATACCAAGGGTAGTGAGTTCAAACCCAGCCCTGGCCAAACTGCAACAACAAAATAAATAAATAAACTTAGTTTAAAAAAAAAAAAATTCTTAACTGAAAACCTTGGCATGAGAAAGGTGTGGCTCGGGCCCTTACATCCCAACAATGTACTGGTTCATGTGGTGCTGGGAGGGAATTTTTAGCCAGTAAAGAAATTAACTGTATTGAAATACCATCCCTATTAATCGGATCTGATGCCCAGTGACATTTTTATTACCTGAAGATAAAAGAAATATCGAAAGGAAGACTTTTTTTTGGAGACAGAGTCTTACTATGTCACCCTTGGTAGAGTGCCATGGGGAAACAGCTCATAGCAATCTCAAACTCTTAGGCTTAAGTGATTCTCTTGCCTCCACCTCCTGAGTAGCTGGGACTACAGTTGCCTGCCACAACGCCCAGTACTTTTTCTGTTGTAGTTATAATTGTTGTTTTAGCAGGCCCAGGGCAGGCTCAAACCTGCCAGCCTCAGTGTATGTGGCTGGCGCCCTACTCACTGAGCTATGGGTACTGAGCGTGAAAGGAAGACATTTTGATGACATTCAGGACATCAAAGGGAATACAACAACAGCTCTGAAGGCCATTCCAAGAAAAATTGCTTTCAAGGGTGTACTAGGCACTGGCATCACTGCATAGCTTCCCAAGGGGAATACTTTGAAGGTGCCCATGGCGGTATTCAGCAATAAGATAGGTATATAGCACTTTTTCTAGCATGAGTTCATGAACTTAACTGTCAGATTACCTGTATCAATCAGTAATGAAATAAAGGGAATGCTGACCCCTATAAAGCCAAGTGACAGCATAAAGAGGTTCACTCCACTATTCACTCTAATTACCTATGTTTGGAAATTTTCCTAATAAAACATTAGAAAAAATTAGGCATATAATGAAGAAAATCTACTGAATACAGAGTCTTAGTTACTGAGGAACAGAATTGTTACCCAACAAGTC